TGCTTAAACCATAGCAGCTGTGAACGTCTCATTCTGCAAACAACCAGTAATAAAAACAAAAATTAATTTACATAATTATGGTTTTATTCATAATAGGTTAGTAGTAAGGTTCTCGTGCCCGATTGGACTGCTGATAACTCCAAAAGAAAAGAGTGCGAATGAAACAGCGATAAGAAAGAATTCAGCTTAGGTACGGGTTGCACAAAAACTGAGTCAAGTCGCAGAGGATGTACAAGAGCAAGAGGCTTTTGAATAATTTCCATGTGAAGGGTGATAACACCGTTCTGGAAATGTGTCATGAAGTCTTTTATTCGCTCATTGGTCTTACACCTTGCTATTCCCTCTGATAGCAAGGACAGTACTTTTGGATGCCTTTTCTAAGTACTTCCGATCCGTTCCAAGGCACACTGGGGGGGGGACAGATCACCTTGCAAGTCCATAGTCATAGGTAAATAATACAATGCCTTCCGCAGCTTTGCAGAAAATCACTTTACAATGAAAGATGTCGCATAAAATAACTGACGGAATAAGTAAATCCGTCAATTGGACCATTTTTATATGCCTCCAAATGCAAATTTTAAAGGAGGGCATGAATTTCGATTTATTGCTTATTTTGTGAGTCCCATAAGCAAGTTATAATCCAGTTGTGGAATATGCTTTCCTAGCAATACGGTAAGCTTACAATGCTGCATTATAGACTGCATCGACCGCGATGAAAACTGCGAATTCTGGGCCTCGTTCGGTGAATGCATCAAGAACTACAAGTACATGTCATCGCACTGCCCGGTGGCTTGTGGAACGTGTCCATAATGCTTCAACGTTGTCTTGTGTACATGTTAAAATTTTGTCGTATTTCAAGATGACTGGATGAGTGTTGCTGGCTTCCGGTTTTGTGCATAAAACGAAAGTTATATAAATTATTAACCGGACGTCAAACGTAATCGAAATATTAGGACAGCGGTTTAAACCGAACTCTTTGTAATCCAATTTAGCTCTTCGAATTACAGGGAGCAAACAGCTACCAAGATACGTGATCCCATTACAGAAAAGAGCACCTTGGAGCACATAAACTGACATTTGCAATATGCGTGCAAGTCAGTCATGAACGGGGGGGGCGGATTAACGATGCTTCAACATCCAAGTGTTCACAGAAGCCTCAGCTTCTTTCGAGATGGTTTTGTTTAGAAAAATGATAGCTGCTGGAAACCTAGAGAGAATCATATAGAGATTGGGAACCATAGTTTCTATTAATCCTCGAAGTCACCTGGATTACCTCGACCGACCAGTAAGTGGTCACGGATAACTCCGAGCGCAAAATTTTGTGTTGTCACAGAGTATAGAGTGTTGACATCCGTTGGCGGGCAGACGGTGGCCTCATGAATTTCATACAGACGCCAATCAGATCTGTATCGAAGGTTTCACTGCTAGCGTTTGACGAGCTGATGTGTGACCAAAAGACGGGAAGACAACGGTGACCTTCAAATTTTCCCAGTTCAACGCCGAGGTTGCTTTTGCCTCATTATTAGACTGATGAGGCATTATTACTTTTTAATAAACAAGGAACTTGCGGAACTCGATCACAGCTACACCCTGCTAGTCTCATTGCTGCCATTTCCTAGTCGAAATATTGTGAAATACGGAAAGGGGTGGGCTCCTCATAGACTCTGACCTGTAGGTGGCAACAAAGTGGCCGTTCAACTGTCCCAGCTACGTTTTTTACAGGAATCATCGGGTTGCAGAGCTCACCTCCTGCATTAGTTAGCAGTACAGTATCATGCGCATATTCGAGGTCAGCAAAATATCTATCTGACCTGACATCTTAAACTGGCTTCCTTTCTAGAATGAGACTTTGGCTTTTGTGTAGGTAAAAAGTGCTTCATAAGAGAATGCTGAAAACGACGTTGCATAACCACGGCAACAGCAGATCTCTCTGGCGAACTTCGAGGTCAATGTGGGACAATATAGAAAACCTCGTTTGAAATGGCAAGCATGATTCATAACGCGTCGTTTGCACAATGACAATGATGTATTATGTGTTTGACATCATCAAGATTAAAAATAAAATTCTCTCTACCGCAGATGATGTTAAGAATCAAACCATTGTTCAGTGTAGATGATGGTGGTCTACAGAGTAACTGAGATCGTCTTCATCGTTCTGTGATTGCTGTTTATCCTGATGTTACAACATTACATTTCTTATCAATCTGCCAATCATTACCCCCCCCCCCCCCCCCCCCCCCC